CCTTTTTTTAAATGCTCTAAATATCGAAAAATCGAGAAAACTCTCAAAAAATGCGTGATTTGCTGAAAAAGAGCGAGAAAAAACAAAAAATTAAAAAAAAAACGCAACTTGTCGTACAATATGCGACATGCTTACCGTAGTCATATTTGCGAGGCCGGCCGAGGCCTCGCGAGGCTTTTTCTCAATGAAGCGAACTTGCGACGGCCTCGGCCGCACAAAATTGCGCGAGGCCTTCGGCCGGCCGAGGCCGGCCTTTTGGACAGCCCTGATTTGAAATCACAAAAAATTCTCAAAATTTTAAAGATTCCGAACCAAAATATTTTGCCCTATTCATGACCGTTTCTAGTTCAAACTAAGTTTCAATTTTTTGGACAACACATATGATCCTATTTACTGTTGATCAGACAAGAAAAAGTTCAAATTCATTTACTCAGAAAGTTCTCTTGATGCGGAAAAAATGACATCGAGATCATTTTTTGAATTCTTCTGCTTCACTAACTTATCATTTTCTTTGAAATCAAAAACAAAAATTCACATCTGTCGGATGTCATCTTCTCTCTCCGAATATCTTTCAACTAACTATACAAAATGTCCCCTGGAAACCAGTTTCCTAGCCTCCTGGCAAGGTTTAGCCTATCCGAGTCATATAATTCAAGCATTCGGTTTCCCATTTCAATTGCTCACTTTTTGGTTAATCCTCAAAAAAACTCCGCAAAGTATGAAGTCCATTAAGACCCCACTTTTGATTGCTCATATTTGGTGTACAATTTTGGATTTTCATTTTTCCACCTTGGTTACGCCATATATGTTTCTTCCGTCGTTTACTTATCTGCCTGTTGGGGTTTTGAGCCTTTTTAAAGTTCCAGTTTTAGTACAGAGTCTGTTGATGGTACAAACTTTGATTGGTGAGTTTATTTTGAAGGATTTCATGTCCCTTTAAATGTGGGGAGACAAAAAATTTATTTCGAGAACTTTCTTTTCATTTTGTCCTGGTTTCATGAGTTTTGAATTAAAACAAATTTTTATATCCCCAGCTATACTGAGAATCTGAAACATAATTTTTGTTTCTAGAACTTCATACACCAATAAATGTTTTTGAGAATTTCCCTTTCAGTAAACAAAAATATGGTCTCCCGTTTCACTCGAACTTTGATGCTCAATTTTTTTGTGTCTTTTGTGCCAACACAACATTTGAAGATTCACTTGAACAGTTTTTTTCTGACCTCATTATAGTCTAGAGAAACTAGTAAATGTACGTGCAGATTTGAATTTCATTTTTTGGCTTACAACACTTTATGCCTTCTGATAAACCGTCAATTTTGAGCTCTTATAGGTATTTCATTTATTGTGAAAGATGTCGAAAAGTGGTCAACTGACAAAATGGTCATCACAATATCAGTAACGTTCTGTCGTCGTCCAGTTTTTCATATCTGCCACAGAAACTGAGATAAATTGGGTCAAGGTTAAGATACGGGTTTGATGCAATACTAAAATTATCTGAAAATTATGTAAAAAAATAGGAAATTTGAAACTGTAATTTTTCGAAAAATTGTTGACTTAAAAAGGGGGGTAGAAGATTTTTCGGAGGATTTTTGGAGCCAGGATATGCATTCTACCGTAGCGGTGTACAACGCTTAATGTCACTCTGCGTACAGTTGTCGTCCTCACCCTTATGTTTACCATCGGGCGCCCGCTCCACTTTGGCCCGCATGGCTCAGTCGATAGCGGCGCCGCACCTTCAATTCTTGCCCGACAAGTTCAACTCCTCGAGGGGCATGTTTAAACGGGATTTCGAAAACATTTTTTTCATGCCCCCCCCCCCCTAACCTTTAATTTCTTAGTCAAAATGTTCAAAAATCGCGAAATAGTTCATCAACAAAAAAATTGTTTAGAAAATAAACTTTCGAGCTTTAATGTCTGAATTTTTGATTTCGGAAGTTTAGTCGGTGAATGAGCTTGTATGCAAGTGCGCTCTGTTGATATGCAAAGCCAATGGAGGGAAACATCTGGGAACGATAGACCATGATCCTATTCAGAGATCTAGAGAAAAATATTGATATACACTTTGAGCGTGTTTCCATCGTTTTGTCAAGTTACAGAAAAGTTGAAATCGAGGTTTTGAAGCAGTGATTTTACGTTGATCCGATTTTTTCAAAGATTTCACAACATTTTGCCAAGTTTGAGATTAATCACAAAAATAGAATCCACTAAAAAAATTATCAGTTCAATGAAAAACTACAGCTTCAAAACCTAAATTTCTTCCTTTTTCTGTAACTATGTGCGATGGGCAAATAATTTCCGTAGCTGTAAATCAAACTTTTTAAAGGAATTGTCCGCCCCCTTCTTCCCTTATTATTCTTGTGCAAAAAAATTGGAGTTGTGGCCGAATTTTGACACAAGTTAGGCCACCGTATTTC